ATGTTTCAAATTGATTTCTATTGTGCTGTATACATTTTTAGGATTTTTGTTTTTTCAAAGACACATTTTGTAAATTCCTGTGTTGGTATTGATCAATTCTATGCATATTTTTTTCCTTGCAAAGACACATTTTGTAAATCCCTGTGTTGGTATTGATCAATTCTATGCATATTTTTTTCCTTGCAAAGACACATTTTGTAAATTCCTGTGTTGGTATTGATCAATTCTATGCATTTTTTTGTTGTTGTTGCAAAGACACATTTTGTAAATTCATGTGTTGGTATTGATCAATTCTATGCATTTTTTCTTGCAAAGACACATTTTGTAAATTCCCGTGTTGGTATTGATCAATTCTATGCATTTTTTTGTTGTTGTTGCAAAGACACATTTTGTAAATCCCTGTGTTGGTATTGATCAATTCTATGCATTTTTTGTTTGTTTGTTTGTTTTTTTGCAAAGACACATTTTGTAAATTCCTGTGTTGGTATTGATCAATTCTATGCATTTTTTTGTTTTATTTTTGTTTGGCAAATATATTTTCCACATTTTGCAATTTTGCAGTTTTTTATAATGCTGTGGTTGTAGAAGTAAAAATCAATCTAATCTGTAATGTTTGATCTGCATTTCATTCTACTAAAAACACAAGCCATTATGACATTATAAACATAAGAATATATATTGTTAGAAGCACTGATTTTTTTAAGAGAACAATTCTTTAGAGTTTTTTTCATATTTACATTTGATTTATTTTACATATTTTTTTTGTTTATTAATTTTTTTTATCTTGATTTGACACAATTTGCCCTGGAAATAGTTTTGAATGTTGTATTTTCACTTAATCTGTTACTTTTCATTTATTACATGCAATTTATTTCATAATGTTCGTTTTTTTATGCCACATACTGTTACTTTAAGACTTCGATTTTTATATATTTGTTTAAACTTACAGTTCATAGTTGATCTTTTACAGAGATTCTAAGCTTTATTGTCTTTGTATCATTTAGAGTGATGGCAATAAAAGCGTTTTGAACTGAATAACCATGTGATTGAGATGGTGTGGATGTGTTCTGTCAGACATGTTTGTGAATATCATCCCTGTCTTCAGTTCACTCCGATGGCAACATCAGTGAAACTTCACCTTATAGTGGATTATGATGTGTTTATTTCCATACAAACACCAGTCTCACACTGACACTATTCTGCTGATTATCCTTAATTCAAGTCTGTGTGTCATTTGTGTAGAGTTTTGACTCTTATGGCCATCTGACATGCACTGTTAGATGCTGTTTTGATCCCTAAACGACCCATAATGCTCTTCTCTGGTGCTTAGAGGAAAGACCTTGGCAAATTAAGAGTGTTTTTGTCTCCAGTGACCTGAAAAGGAGCCCTTAAGACCTTTCTTTTGTCAAATGTGCTCTCGGGAGGGTCTTCCCTTCATACAGAGACACAGAAATACACTTCCACTGGAGCAGAGTCACTTACAGACACTTGAAATCCCAAAACGATTTATGTGGCAGAATTGAAGATTTAGAGGTTTCACGAAGAGCCAATAAACGCCTAGAGTAGATTTACATCTCAAATTCTCTTCTTTTTTATTAAATGATTTTTTGTTGTATAACACCTCTTCTTCAAGACGAAGCAAATGTTGTAAGGAGTTGAGCTGAATCTATCTTGTTAAGTCTTAATGCACCGTAAAGTGTGGCATAAGACCATACACACCCGTTCCGACGCGTCTTGTGGGTGAAATCTTGAAATAAGATTTTAAAATATGAAGGACCAAAGTAGCTAAAAGTATTAGAAAATGCAATTAGTACATTTATTTATTTATTTATTTCTGGGTATAGGACTTTGGTTCTCCTCAGAAAACGAATGGATCTTGCTTTATCTTAAAAGACAAATTGAGTTGCATATTATTTTTTATTTATAGTCCTATATATTTATATTTATATTTTTTACTGTGTTCTTTTACGGTTTGTATTTGAAGATAAAAGGCCCTGTTGCATTTAAGACCTACATCCCTAAATGCAACAGGATTTTTGCGTGCTGTTTTGTGCTTAACGGCCGTATTTTTATTTATTTATTTATTTATTTGATTTATTCATTTATTGTTTTGACGAGGTAACATAGATGACTTGACATGTTTCTTCCTCAGCTGTTAAATAAATACGCATAAACCGGGCCTTTTTACTAGTAAAATTGAGCGAAAATAAATAAATAAACAAACAATCATTTGCCTCTAAATTAGAAGATTCGCAAAAAAATTTAATAATTACATTTTTTTAATTTTATTTAAGCTATTGACGTGGAAAACTGATGAATTTCCATGTTTCTCCAGCCTCCTTTTGTTTCAAAATAATGTAAAATAAATGCATAAATAAATACATAGATAAATACACACTGGGCCTTGATTGAATTTGAACAGGGGAAAAAAATGTCAGTAAAAAAAGATCTTATCGGCTACCAAAGCCTCATTCGGCTCTAAATCACAAGATTTGTAAAAACAGATTATTAATTTTTAATCATTCGTTTAATTTTTTTTGACGTGGTAGCTAAAGTTGATGAATAAACATGTTTCTTCCTCTGATGTCCAGCTGTTACATTTATTAACTTCCTTTGCTTCAGATTAATGTAAAATAAATAAATCAATACATAAATCAATACTTAATACATAAACTGTGACACGCCAAAACCTGGTTTTAACACTTTACAATAAGGATCATTAGTTATCTACTTGAGTTAACATGAACTAAGCATGAACAATACTTCTACAGCATTTATTAATCTTAGCTAATGTTAATTTCAACATTTACTAATGCATTATTAAAATCAAACGTTGTGCTTGCTAACATTAGTTAATGCACTGTGAATTAACATGAACTAACAATGAACAACTGTATTTTCTTTAACTCACATTAACAAAGATTAATAAATACTGAAATAAATGTATTGTTTATTATTTGTGCATGTTAGTTGATGCATTAAATAATGGAACCTTATTGTAAAGTGTTACCACTACTTTTATAACTAGCAATGGCTTTATTTATTAATTAATTGTTTCATGCATTTGTAATATTCGAGTCTCTCTATGTAAATAAAGTGCAGGGCATGTTTTAGAGAGTATGAGAGCTGTGAATTGAGCATGTTTGTCCGTGAGTCCCTCCCTCTGAACGTCTGTCCGAGCACATTAATGTCGCTCCTGCTCCTCTGAAGGCGTCTGGAGTTTTTTGGACTTCATATTGTCTGTGCCTCACTGAGAGTTTCACTTCTGCTCGATCAACGACGCGTGGAGCTGGAGTTTCAGGAACATCTGGACAGTAAGTTTAGCATTATTTCTACTGGAAATGGGTCAGAACGACGCAGGTGAACCGATTTAGCTGAATGTTTGCGTAAATGCAAACATCTCAACTTATTAGTATTACGCGGAAACATTGCATTAGTTGGTGATATTATAGTTTCGTAATTTGTCTGGATTGGCTCGATCCTCCTGAGAACCAGAAATAAAAAGCTTTGTGAATTTAGTATTTTTTCATGTCATTACATTGTTTAGAGCATAATTAAAAAAATGGTATTATATTTTATTATAAGTTATGCTATGTCCTCTGTAGAGGACACCAGGGCTCAAAAAATAAGATGACAAGAGTAGACATGAAAAGGCAAAAACAATGGGATTTTTTTTTAAATCAGCAATCAATTTTTAGGTTTCAGGACTTTTTTATAACTAACTTTAAGGATGGTTCTCAACTATGTTATAAAATATATAACAAAATGATTTGATATACCATTTTGCTTTATGCAATATGTGTGTAAAAATTCCATAAACTGGTTTTCCCATTAAGCACAATGTATCTAATTTGCATATTAAAGCGCTGTTGGACAGCATGTTGAAAAAAGAAGTGTAATAATGGGAGTAGTAATTGGCCAGATTTTCATAATAATATCTAATATTTCATAAGATTATTGATATGTAATTTGTTTTCCTATTCAATTCTTTTGTCTCCCAAAATGTATAATAAACATGCTTTTAGTCCTGTGTCCTCTACAGTGGACATGTATGAAATGATGTCCTGTTTCGTAACAGAAGGTCATATTTTGATTTGAAACCCCATAACATTTTCCTGAGATGTTGATTTATGACAAACAATTTGAAAATTAATCAGATTTAAATTGCAATTACAAAATATGATCATATTTCCATAAGGATGTACAATTTTATCACTAAATTAATGTCAGCCATTTTAAAGACCAAGAAGAGGGAGTGGTCACGGTGAAACATCCAATCATGTGGTATCTGTGGAAAGCCCTGAATGTGCTCTGTTAAAACTGTGACATGTGAGGTCTCCGAGAAACTCACTCAAATATAATGTCCACTACAGAGGCAAAAACTCCATAGCTGGGTCTCAGGAGGATATATACGCAATTTCTGATTTAAATGTTTTTTTAATCGGTGGCACTTTAAAGTAAACGTTATCAAATCTCATGGAACTATATATATGCATGAATTACTAGCCTATCAGTGATGTAATAATTAAAATTATTATTGCATAATGTGTTGTACGACGAAAATATTCCAGCATTAGGTTACATTTAACATTTCTAGCATGCATAACAAATGCATAATAAAGCATGCACGTAAATGTATTTAAATTCATATGTATGCGTGAAGCTAAATGCATTAAAACCCTCGAGCTGGTGAGTTTTTGTTGACAAAAAAAAGCGGATTTGTGTTGCATGGCTAGAAATGACGCGTTTGCATTCATACAGAAATATTCCAATACTTTATTTCTTTGTTCTGAACTGAAGTTCAGGCATATATACAAGAAAAAAGACAAACTAGTACAAATCTGCACAATAAATGACTATGACAACTGAAGGTGCAGAACTATAAATCACATAAAAGGGCAATAAACAGCTCTAGAAATCACATTTCTGATTTGCACAGAGTTAAAATAATGGCTTCAGAATGGCATAATAGCAAATGAATGTTCAGGGATGTTTTTTTTAAGCATTAATGATCTGTCTTTGGTGCTGAATCACCTTCTCGCGTAAAAACTGTATTAAAATACTGTTATGTGTGTAAACAAAACCTCGTGTCGTCACAGAACAGTATTTTATGTGACAGTATATATAAACTGATCCCACAGAGTTCATTTAAACCAGTGCTTTAATTCAGTATAGCTTAGCTTTACTATAGTAAGTCATTGCATGACCTCTCTGAACACATCAGGCCCACACTAACCGACAGGCAAATTCATAAAACATTGCATATACATTTTTATTTGACCATATTTCAGGTTTACACCGCTAATAATAATAATGTTTCATTGTCAGAACGCACACCTGAGACAGTCCGAGCGCTCAACCCTGATTTAAGATATTAAGGCGCATTCACAGTTTGAGACATAAATAAAAAAGGAATTAGTCATACTAAACGAATAATATGTGCCAAACATCTAATAATAACGGTATCCCACAGTAACAAGGGATAAAAAAGACATTTCGAATAAATACAAAACCATCATTCACAAAGAAATACTATAAATAATGCTTTTTTAAAAAAGAAATAAAAACAAACACATACGGTTATTGCCTTTGGCATAGCATCATACTACTATTACAAAATAATCTTAAATAGACGAGAGAGAAAAATCCAGACGCACAGTCCTCACACAAAAGGAAAGCTTGCACGTTTCGGTTTTCGAGGAAAGTTTGCATGTTCCCATTGGAAAGGACGCGCAACGCTCAGCTTAGAAACGAATTGGGCGCGAGGCGTTTGTGTTGAGACAGAAGTCCGCTAGAAAGTGGTGCTGTGAAGGACGGCAAACTAGTTCTTAGGGAATCAGACAGCAGAGGGGACGGAGAGCTGGAGATGCCGTATCCCGGCGCGCTCGGAAGCGGCTGCGGCTGCGCGCCCGGTACGAAGTATCCATTGTGCGACACGCCGTACCCGTTGATACTCCCGCTAGAGGCTCCCAGAATGGAGCGAGACATATCCCCGTTCCCGAGCGGCTCGACGCCAGGGAGAAACGATCCGTACGCGTGTCCTTGGCTTAGAAATCCGTGCGTGGAGCCGTTGTAGTGCGAGTGGTGGAGGGGTAAAAACGGAGACAGCTGCCAGTAGAGCGGGTTGCTCGGGCGTTCGCCCAGACCGAGTCCGAGGGGCGCGAAGCGGAGGCCCCTTTTCATCACCAGCTTGCCCCGCGAGGTCGCCGAGCGCCGGCGGAGCTTCCCGGTGGTTCCGCCGATAAACACATCATCGCTGGAGGGATCCAACATCCAGTAGTTCCCTTTCCCAGGATCATCATAATGCCGCGGGACCTTCACGAAGCACTTATTGAGGCTCAAATTGTGCCGGATGGAGTTCTGCCAGCCCTGCTTGTGCTCCCGGTAATACGGGAAGTTCTTCATGATGAACTCGTAGATGCCGTTGAGCGTGAGCCGCTTCTCAGGACTCTGTCTGATGGCCATCATGATGAGCGCGTTGTAGCTGAACGGAGGCTTGTCGAATTTCTTTACCTTTTTAGACGGCTGCTCCTCCGCTTCTCGCTGCGCGGGGTCCATCTCGGACGCTTCCGGGGGTTTGTCTAAGTCCTGTACGGGTGCCGGGCTGCCGCTGCGCTCCGCGCTCTCATCGTCAAACTTCGATGGGAGTAACAGGCTCTTGATGCTGAACGATGTCGACTTCTGCACCATGGTCAGCTCACTCTGATCTCCCATGCCGGGCGATGAACAAACAAAAGCCGTAGTTTAAAACGCAGGAGGTCAGGCGCGCAACGGCGGGGACGTTGCATGCATGACAGGACTTCTAAGACGGAGGACGCGACGCGCGGACTCGAGAAATCTGTGATTAACCAGCGCTAGGTCTTACCAACTACCTCATCGCAGGGGAGGGAGGAGGAGCTCTTCTCTTGCTGGAAGCTGGACTGTATAGTCTCGGCTCACTCCATCATAATGCGCGGAGAGCCCTGTGCGTGCTGGAGTCTGGAGAGTCTCCTGTGCGTCACCGATCACGTAGCCTGAATAGGAGGGACAAATAATTGCTCACACATTACCTGAAACGCTCTTAAATAAAGTTTAAATGATCCAAATTTAAAGTTTTTAGTGATTCTGAGTCGGACAGTTTTGCTGAAGGCACTCTTAATAATACTTCGAAGGGATTCGAATGAGGGTTTTAAATAATACGGCCCTAAAACATACATAGTACAATGTTGTGTATTATGACCAGTCCAGACCTATTGATTAGCAGGCTTTCCAAAAATAATAATGAAATGCTCTCATTTACGCAGAAATTGACTTTGGCGTGCATATGATACGCAGTTTTGGCGTACATGTGATACGCATCTACCCCACACCCCTAATCCTACCCATTAAATATCATATGCACGCAAAAGTCCATTTCTGCGTATAAATAGCACGCCAAATAGAAACTGAAAATCGTGCTATTGATAAGCCTTTTCATGAGACCAGGTTCACATTGTGCGTAAAAGCGCGCATGCCGAGCCAAGTGCGCCTCTAGTGTCAGCGCGGGTCACAGATCCACTGAGATCCTGCTAGAGGAGTGCAGAAGTTATGATGGCACTTTGAAGGTCTAAAGTCATTTTTAGTCACTGAAATATACAAACCAGTGTGATTCCTGTGCGCTGCATTCAGTCATCTCAAACAGCATGTTTGCGCAATGGGAAGTGACCGGTGAACATCCTAACAGTCTAGTCGCACTGTTGTTTACTTGTTTTGTTTTTTTATCGATGTTAGTCTGATATAAACTCAAGTTGCTTTAGAATAATCTTAATTACGCGTCTAATCTATAATAGCTTTTTATTTTTAAATTTCGCATATTGCATTCTGAAATAAATGTGTTTTTGTTTTGTTTTATTTTGTTGTTTTTTCCCCCCTTCACGCTTAGCCAATACGAACACTCTTATTTGAGATTAAATTAATATCTTTGTTAAATATCATAAATATCTTTGTTAAATAAATGCATTATTTCGTAACCAAGAAAAATGTTTAATTATGAATTGTTTTCTTGTCTGAAGGCTGTTTGCATCTCTGTATTGTAGCATTGCCGAATGTGAAATGATTTGTACATGATTTGTAATGCATAAACTGTGTATTTTAATGATGCACAGACCAGTACAACACTTTATTTTATATTATTAAAGAAACGTCGAATGTGTATAAAGCAAAAAAGGACAATTGAAACGAAATTAATTCGTTTTCAATAAATTGTCGAAATGGCTAAAATATGCAAAGCAAAAGAGTGCAATTTTAAACGTATTTTTATTTAACAATAACAATAAGTTATATGAATTCATTTTTTTCTTATATGTGTACTTATATTTTAATTTTTTTAATGACGACAGAATAAATTGTCGAAATGGCTAAAATATGCAAAGCAAAAGAGTGCAATTTTTAAATGTATTTTTATTTAACAATAACAATAAGTTATATGAATTCATTTTTTTCTTATATGTGTACTTATATTTTAATTTTTTTAATGACGACAGTCGACAGTGTTCTCGCAGTACCGTAGCAATTTTATAATTAATAAAAAATATGTATTTGTTGAATTTATTAAAACTGTTTTGCAGCCCAAACAATAAATGTGTTCTTCTATAGCTACTTACTGCCCAGTTTTCAGTTGAATTCTTAATAATTCAACTTTATTGAGGTATAAACAGCTCTATATTCACGCAAATTAATGTCTTGTTATTTATAATAGATTATTATTATAAAAACGACGGGATGTTTCAGTAATATTGTTTTACGAAATTACAGTTTATTTTGATTTCTTCTGATATTTTCAGCATAATTAAAGCATCACTAAGAGACAAAATTATTTCCAGTTATGTGTCGATCTGTTTACAACCTTTATCTTATTATTTATCAAAGCTTTAAACACAGAAAATGCTAAGAAAATAAAGAAATGTTATGATATATGCTATGCATGCTATACACGTTCTTGTTTTGATTCCCTTCTCATATAAATTGGTCTGGGTTTTTTTACCTTTTAACACCTCAAATCTCATCGAATCCACCCTGTAATAAGTTAAATAATTATATGATGAGTTAAAAGGCAATATATATATATATATATATATATATAGCAATGCAAACAATATGTATTCCACCATGTTTTTAGACAAAAATATTATTTTTAATAACAATCAATTTGCAGCAGGAATATCATTACCTATTTTGAAGAAGTGTGGCCAAATGAAACAAACAAAAACACATTTTAACATTATTTAAAAAATACATGGAAGTTTCTTCTTCTTCTTGTAGACTACTGCAATGCAAATGGACTTTACAAAATAATACTAAGTATTCTTTATCATTCGGGGTCATATACAAATAGGTCAGTCGTGTCAAAATGAGTAATTTGCAGTGACCGTTTATCATTTCAGAGAGTTATGACCGACATTGTTCACATACATGAAGAACCCCCCAAACACACACACAGACACACACACACACACACACACACACTGTGTGTATGTTTGTTTTCGTCCATGTATAGCTCGCCTCAAGGCTTCATTTGAAACTGCTTGCCAAAACATTTAATGCCAAACCCACAGCAAACACACACAGGAGCACTTGAAAATGACATGCAAGGTTCAATAAAAGGTCACACCACACTTAAAGCACAGTGATGATGGGGTGAAGGGCCTCTACGGGCCTGTCCTGGATTTGAGTGGTTTATACTGTGGTGAAGCAGCATCCACCAACAGGAGCTTCATGCTAATGACTGTACAAAACACACTGACATCTCTGACCTGAGACTAACCTTAAGTTTAAATTGGCATGTGTTTCGCTTTTTAAGTCCTCCATAAAATGCACTGGACACATCTGAATATTTGGGTTGAAGTGTTCTGGAACTTAAATACAACTTAACCACTGATTTCTAGTCGTGTCCTCTTTTGGAAGACCAAACAAAGTGGTTTCGCTTTCACGACGAAGCACAGCATCACACACGGCGGCCTAGAGTGAGCGGCCGGCGGGCTTGTGGCAATCACATGTGACGACCCCGGGCTGGACTCCGCTTCGTCCACGGTGAAAGCCGATCCGGCGATACAAAGTGCAAAGTTGTAGTATTTCCTCAGCAACCAGCACGGATCAGCTCCAGGCATGACGAAGCAGATATCGTCCTTTTAAATCACAGAGAGATTCAACCAAAAACAATTAGAGAGACAAAACAAGAAACAGTCACAACAATAATATAAATCCATTAATATCATCACAGTTTCTTTATTTACACAAGCACAATTAGCCGTAATGTGTGAGAGAGTTTATTTAACTGTGATCTGAGGACAAAATTGTCCCTTGAATTTGGCTAAATCTGATTAAAATGATTCATTCATACAACAAATATATTTTTTTATTCTAAAAATGTTTATTCTTTAATGGTTTAGTATATGGACTAGTCTGTTGTCATTATAAATAGCTTTATATGAAAACAATAGATCTATATATGCACTGATTTTGCCTGTTTTGTGCTTGCTTTGGCTGTAGCTTACAGATCAATGTTCTTTATGATTAGCAAAAGACCCTCATCTCATCAAGAACTGTTTTGGATTGCTTTATGCATCCAAAGAGACTGAAAAAGTTATTAATGTTCATCAGTTTTTTGGAGCTAAAGTACAAGGTTTCCTTTAACATCCGACCATCAGACATCTTTATTTATTAGTTTTTGACATTAGAGTACAATACAAAGTCACCCGTTTACTTACATTTGTTTTGTCACTAGAAATAATGCAGAAACTGAAAGTCATCATTTAGATTATAAATATAGATTTAGATATTTAGATTATAATTGTAATTTTTTTAAATTTTGTTTGGTATTTTAAAAACCTAATTTTTATTTTAAAATGTATTTCCTGGTTTACATGAGAGGAAGAGGAAATACGACTAATAAAAAATATTCATCCTTTTTGTTTATTGCATAGCTTTTCTGACATTGAACTTTATTTTTAGATTCAGTATAAATGAAACATTCCCATATAATGCTAAAAACAGTTTAAAAATGTATAATATTAAAAGTTTTTATTTATTTCCTGGTTTAAATGAAGGGAAGAGGAAATATCAGAACTCTAATTAGGCTATTAATTAGAAATAAGTTTACTAAAGATCTTTAATATGACCACAAATATACTTTTATTTATCTTTATATTTATTGGATTGCTTTTTTACTGACATTTTACTTTATTTTTATATTCCTTAATAAAACATTCCGATTTAATGCTAAAAAAAAAAAAATTCTCAAGCATTAGTGTTGATCTTTGAGATCTTAAAAAAAATGTATCCTAAAACTTACTATTTTAAATGAGAATAAGAGGAAATATTAGCCATCTTTAATTGCTCTAATAAGGCTATTCAATTAGAAATAAGTTTAAATAAATTTTAATAAGACCACAAATCCTTGTATTTATTGCATTTTTTCCCCCTGACATTTTACTCGATTAACTTGATGATTTTACTCCAGTACGTAATTCAGGAAATGTGGTTCAGAGATTCAGTAAATGAAACATTAATTTAATGCTAAAAAAAACTCTCCAGTATCAATGTTGATCTTTGAGATTGTGATTTTAAAGGCATGGAAAGAAGTCTAATCCTGTCTTTCTGTGAGGCTCGAACATGTTAAAACACGTTAAAAACATTTAACCTCTCATGTCCTGGGTCTAAGGTCCCTGTCAAAGCCAAATGGGATTTGTTTTTGTTTTTTAAAGGATTTGTCTGTAAAAGAAACTTAAACCCTTGTATTACATCTCTAATAAAAATGTTTGTGCATTCCCAAATCTAAATGTTTTTGAATTCACACTGTAATTCTTTGAAGGCCAGGCTTGTGATTCAATCATAAACATACTAGATTACAGAGAAAAACTGTGGCTGGGATTGGAATATTAAAATCTCATCAAGGGAAACTGCGTTGGCACATTTCTGAAGCTCATTATTTGTAGTTAGTAATCTGGTCAGCTTTTTAAAATTCAATCATTCTGGAAAGAGACCAAATAATTTGATGTTTAACATCCAAAAAGATAGTTTATTCATAAATATAGGTTACTATTAATGATTGCATTTATGTATTTTAAATGGATTATTCATTGATCTATTCATAATCTGGGGCAAGTTCAGGCTCAAACCGGTGTGCACCGTTTTGCTACGGTTTCCGGTTTGAACGACATGTTTCCTGGAAACGGTGTGCAACGGGGTTTGAGATGGTTTTCTCTTGTTTGGTGGGTGTGTCAAACATGTCAGCCCAATCAGCAGCAACGTGTATGTAAACCACGCGGTATTAAAGAGACAGCTTTAAATA